CCCCCCCGTCGCCATCACCAAACCAAGCTCTATTGCCCTGTCTGATTCTGCTGGTTTCCCAAAGGTGTTTTAATCCGCTCCCTCCCCAGCTGGGACAAACACGTCCTCTCCTTTCTCCACTGGTGACCCTCTGTGTGAACCTGTCTTGTCATCCTCATCACCTGCCTTGCCCTGGAGTAATTCAAACCAAGGTGTGCCTCTCCTACTGTCTCATCCTCCTGGAGGGTGGCGCCTGCCTCTTCGTGTCCCTGATGCCACCCTCAGCCTGGCGCATGCAGGAAGAGAAAGCAGAGTTTAAACTGTGCCCTGCCCACCGGCTTCCCAATCCCAGGCTGGTGCTAACCCAGTGGCCTCTCAGGACCCCAGCAAGACGTGTCCACTCACCTGACCTCCTGCACTGGGTTCTACCCCACCCCATTTTGCCCCCCCCCGCCTACCCCCATGGCCTGTGCCAGGCTGTGACCCCGGATTGACCCTACTGTGCATGCAGAATAAACCCGAGCTGTGCCTGCAGGACCCGTCACAGCTTCTTCAGCTCCTGGGGCTCCTCCCCGTGCTTGAACACGCCGATGGTGACCTGGCCTGTCTCTGAGCCATACTTGTTCTTGACGAAGATGCCGTAGCGTCCGCTGTCTTCTGTGTTGACCTTCTCGATAGTGATGGTGACCTCTGACCCCCTCACCTCCATGTGGTAGCGGTCGAGGAAGGTGACAGGCTGGTCATTCTTCAGCCAAGAGATCTCAGGAGCAGGGTCTCCCGAGATGACACAGGTCAGGCACAGGGTCTGTCGGACAGGACGGGGGTCACCTCCCGTCACAGACCCCTGGCTTCCACCGTCCCTCCCCCAGAGCTCCCAGTTCAAGTTGCTCCTTGTGATAAATTCATTATATGCATTTTTATTGTGGCCCGTAAAGGAATACTGTTAAAGGGGAGACGTTTGATTTTAACCCTGCATCTTCCAGCTTCAGATTTTCCCTGGAAATACTAGGTACTCAGCAGCCCAGACCATTATTTCTCTAACGGTCAGCTTCCCTGGAATGGTCTGAACTTTGCTTTAGACTTTTAAGTTTGTCTCTGTGTCATGATGATTTTTGTCATGCAAATAAGCTTATGCTGCTCCAATACAGAGATTTGTGAATTGGAAATGCTCCGACAAGTTCTCATGCACGGCACCCTAGTGCAATGGTCAAACCTCAGAGTCTGGAGCGGGGCTGCCTGCTGGTGAGTCTGAGCTCTGCCCCTTCAGGCTGTGACCTCAGGCAAGTCTCTTAACCTCTCTGGGCCTCAGTGTCCTCAGCTACCAAGTGTGACTTGTAACAATACCTATTTTGTGCGGTTGCTTTGATGGATACACAAGTTAAAATGTGTAATACACACGGAGTGGTTCCCAGCACAAAGTAATCACCACCCAATGTTAGCCGGCATGTTTTCTAGAACACTAGACTTATGTAATGTCAGCCTGGAAAGGGATTTTGGGCATTGTCCATTTTGTGGAAATGGAAGTTCATTGGGAGAAGACTGTGAAGGCCACCTGGGGAGATGGGGTGGAGCTGAGGGGTGTACTCCATGGGCCTGGCACCAGGCAGCAGCCACCATGTGGGTGCTGGACCTGACGCTGGTGACCAGCCCTCTGGCACGAGTCCACAGTGCTGGCTGTTGCATGATCTTTGATGGACAGGCCAGGGGGCAGCGTAGGACCGCTGGCTGGGGGCGGGGAATGATCAGTACCTTGTCTTCCATGATAGTGGCCACGTCTGGCAGGCCCCTCACCACTTTGGCGCGATCTGGGAGGGAAAGGGAGACCACTGTGAGGTTGGTTCCCAGAAGCGGGCTCCACAGAGCTCAAGTTCCTGTCAAGCCAAACTGCTTCTTTCTGTTTTTATCATTCTGGATGGAATCTGTACTTATTACTTTGCCTTCCTTAACAAAAGCTGGGGCACAGTATGTGTTCTGGCTGGCATGGACTTGAGGTCATCATTGTGTTGGGTGCCCCTTCAAGGATGGGGAGGGAGGCAGTGTGTTGTGTCATGTCCACTTTAGGTGATGGGCAGGGAAGTGGGCGGAGGGGACCAGGGAGTGTGGGGGCTTCAAGGCCGCTCTGGCTCAGGTCAAGGAAGGGCCTCGTGGCCACTGCAGGCAGGTGGGAGAGAATGGACTATATGTCACTATGAGGTCGAGTGGGTGGCCCAGAGGGTGGTGGCCCAGAGGATGGGTGGCCCAGAGAGTGGTGTCCCAGGGGATGGGTGGCCCAGAGGGTGGGTGGCCCAGAGAGTGGTGTCCCAGGGGATGGGTGGCGAAGAGAGTGGGTGGCCCAGAGGTTGTGTGGCCCAGAGGATGGTGGCCCAGAGGGTGGGTGGCACAGATCCTGTATCACAGACAGGAATGTGCAGAGTCTGAGGTGAATGGTGCATGTTTGATGGAGCAGAGGGACTACAACCCTGATTGGGGGAGCAGAGGCTCCAGAAGTGGACACTGCTGTTGGCAGGAGTCTCCAGGCCCTTCCCAGCGGGTCAACCAACCCCGCCCCTGAATCTTGATGGCACAACCACAGCAACCACAGCTGGTGGATTCACTCCCCCTCTGAGCGTTCTGCAGAGGCGTCCTCTCCCAGAGACGGCATTCCAGGATGGCGGGGGGACCTCTTGTAGGTAAGTGGCTGCTTGTCAGCAGGGACCTCCCCACCGTGGGATGGTGCTTTTCCTGGCTGCTAGGCTCAGCTGTCTCCAGGCGGGGCTCTCCCCACCTAGAGGTCTCTCCCTGCAGGGGCTTCTCCTTACATGGCCACTTGGGTCACCACGTGCCCCTTCAAGACCTCTGGGCCTGTGTCGACCCCCTCCCGCAGATGGCCCCGGACAAGGCGCCTCTTAGTTCTCTCCTGGGTTTCTCACTATGGTTCAGAGTCCGCCTCGGCAGGCTGTGAGGTGGGGCTCTGCTCCGCGCCGGGGTCTTCTCTCATGAAAATCCACCCCCATCTGCTGGGTCAGTGAGCTGGGAGAGTTGGACCCTAGGTCCAGGGGTGCAGACCAGGCTGGGGACACCCAATGAAGCTCAACCTGTGGACTTGGTGGTGGTCTCCGGCAGCTCAGAGGCCGTGGACATGTTGCTCTGGGTTTGAGGCTTGACTGGATTTGAAGAGGCCCCAAGGCCCCACAGCTTCAATGCCCCACCAGCCCTGTCCCTTGCTGCCTCCTGGCAATTTCTGGTCCCAGTGATACTGTCTGTCATCACCTGCTACCGGAGAGGTCACAGCCACAGGGCCACCTAGGCCCATGGGGAAACCAGGACTTCGGCAGCCTGTTTGGAGACATGAACCCCTGGGGCAGCCGCCCCAAGAACCAGAAACAAAAGAACAGACAGTGTACTCACGCTTCTCGATGAAGGCCGCAGCTCTGAAAGACAGAACAGGGAGAAGGCTCAGGGCTCCACTTGTTAAAGGGCAGTCAGGAGGGGTGGAGTGAGGGGTGACGAAGGAAAAGAGGAGTGGCCGGGGCTCCCAGGAAGGATCCTGTGCACAGACATGCCACACCCAGAGGTGCCTGTGAGCCATGCTGAGAAATGCAGAGGACACTTACTTCAGTCTCTGGTATTCTTCCATGGCGTCGTCAAACGCTGCAAGAAAGCAAAAGTGGGAGCGAGGTCAGGGCCACTGTCCTGTGACCCGCACAGGGTAGAGGGCTCAGGCTGACTGATCCGCGTTGTCCCCACCACTCCAGGATTCTCCGGGGTGATGCCAGGGAGGGCAGGGCACGAAGCCCTCCGGGAAGACCGTGGGGCTTTCTGGCAGGTTTTCTGTGGACAGGCCCGACATCAGCTCACCTTGCCCTGAGAGATCGACTGAGCGCTGCTGCACGTCCTTCCCGGCAGCGATCTCCAGGGTGTATTTGCCCTTGTCTGAGTCTTTGGGGTCCAGGATGTGCAGCCAGATCTCATTCAGGGTGGTGCCAGCCCTCACCCGGTCACCACTCTCCAGACGCTTCTCTCTGGATGTGACAGAGCAGTGGTGAATAAGCTCACTGAGCACTGCCGCCCAGGACAGCTGGCTGTCTGGGGTCACAGGCCCCACTTGCCCTACACGCCTCTCCTGGTGCTTTGTTTGCAGAAGTTGGTGACCATCCTTGAGAAACCCCACCAAAACCCATGCACTCATCATTCACCCATCAGCTCTGGCACATCAACTACCTGCCAGTGCAGTCTGTTGTGACATCTGCAAGCTGGGTCTTAGAGGAAACAGCACTCCAGAGCCAGTGAGCTGCTCCTTCTCTTCCGCCCTCAGGATTCACTTGCTCACCTCTTCATAATCCTCATCCTAAACCCTCCAGGGCTCCTTCCCCCAGCCCTTAGAGACCATATAAAACTCAAATTTCATCCCTGGCACACCCAGTCCAGGTCCTTAGTGTTGGGCTACAGAAGTGACACCTCTGAGCTTAGTCACAGGGCTCAGAAAGTCTGACTAGGGGAGGAGCCCTGTTATCCTGGAATTCAATGCAGTTTTGCTTTTACTCATTCGACAAACTTGACCAAGTCAGTCTGGCCTTCTCCATAGAATGGGTGCAGTCATGTCTGCTCCACGAGGCTGAGGCATGCAAATGGTGAGGAACACTGGGAGAAAATTCTGTTCTCCAACTACTGGGGTTGCTTGGCCCCCAGCTGGGTCGCTGATATCTATCCTGCTCTCGAGCCCTGGTCAGTGTTAGTTTCCAGTCCCACAGGAGCCTCTGCTGCCCTTCCTCTTAGCCAGACTGCCTGAGTTTGCTAAGGCTGTGGAGGCCCACACGGGCACATTCCCCACTTCAACCTTTGGTTCTCCTTCACCCCTGTATCCTTCTCTCCCACAGTCCCCACATGTTCCCAGGTGATCCTTCTGTCACCATGGACGCTTTGGGAATCTATCAGGGTTCCCACCTTCCCTGGAGTTCTCCCTTCTACACGTCCGACAGCTGTTCCCTATCCCCAACTCCCTTTGCGGATGGCAGGACAAGTCTCTGCTGACCGCTTGGCATTGGTCTTGGGCGGGTGCTGGCCCCTTCCTGCCTGGTGAGGGCTCCAGGCCAGGCCAACCTACTTGTGGAACCAGCTGGTTTTCATGTAATCCACGTTGTAGTACTTGACCTTGCTGAAGATCCGGATTCCCTCCTCAGTGCCCTGGATTTTCAGTGGGCTTGCAGAGAGGGCTGGGGAGGCATGGGAGAAGGGTGAGTGTTCCCCAAGGCCTTTTGGGCAGCATAGTTTGAAGTCACCTAGTTTGTCCTTGCTCTGGGGGTGGAGGAATGAAGTGTTGTGTGGTAGCAAGAACTTTCCCCTTAGCCTTTGAGGTTGAAAACTAAACCCACACTGGTAGATGAGGTTGGCTGGAGTTCCCCTGGGGGCTGTTTGGTGGTGGGGAGGGGCAGGGCAAGGCAAAGAGGGGACTTGCTTACCACTAATCCTGCCCAGCTCAGTGAGGACGGCATCCAGGCCTGGAGGGAGACAGAAAAAATGATTTGCTGGCTCCTGGCTACCCTAGCGACATGCCTGGAGCAGAGTTGTCCTTGGAACAGGTGGGCAGAGCTCCTGAGAAGTCCTGGGCAGGGCTCAGGGCCACATCTACAGCCTGGGGGGGAGGGGAGCTGGAGGACTCTGACCCAAGAGACACAGCCCACAAACGTCACCCCACAGGTCACGTCAGCCTCTGGTTTGCTGTGACCCCCCAAGGCCCTCCTAACCATCGCTAACATCGCCCGCTCCTACCTTCACTTGTGAGGTCCAGCATGGTCTCGTCCTCCCCTCGCTCATCAGAAACCACTGCTCTGTAAGTGCCCTCATCCTCTTTGGACATCTGAGAAGAAAGCGAGCGGGCAGTGTTGGCATGGGCTCCAGGGGTGATGGACAGCAAACCAGTCCAGGCTCCAGGTCTGCCTTTGTGGCTGCAGGCAAGACCTGGCTCCTTGGGCCTCAGCTTCCCCATCTGGAACCAGTAATGCCAAGGCTGCTTCTGCTCCAGAGCCCATTGATACCCAGGCTCAGGGCTTGTCTGGGCCTGGCAGTGACGTGGGGGTGGAGGTGGACCCCAACATTTGGGTTCACAGGCAGCTACCTCAAGCAGAGCACAGTCAGCCGTCCTAGCCCAGCACGTCTGAGCACGGCGTCCCTCCACCTGAGCTGCCTGTTGCAGAAGGGCCCTGGCGAGAGGGCCCTCCTGCCCTTCCCTAGAAGGAAGCGTGCTTCCTCTTGCCCGGGACTATGGGGTCGTTTCTGGTACATGTTTGTCATGTGCGGCTCAGATTCTTCATCTACAAAACGGTGGCATAATCCTTGCCCCGCTGGAGGTGCTGTGAGGAGCAGGGAAGATTTGGAAGCCAGTAAGTTCTGCAGGGATCGTTAGGAGGCACCTTGACGCCACGCCCGTGTGGGGAGCAAGCACTGTGCTGGCAACCTTGGTTATTTTCTCCTTAGTTAGCAGACCTGTGTTTGCTCATTTTCCCTGGCACCCAGGCAGAAAACCAGTGTGTGTTGAAGAACAAGTCTCAAGTCAGACAGGGAAAGACAGACATCCTGTGATTGTACTCATGTGCGGCACACAGAGAAAACAGACAGGCTAAATAAAACAAAAACCAACTTTTGGACAATGAGACCACGCAGTGGTTGCCAGAAGGGGGAGGGGGAGGGCAAACTGGGAGACAATCTGGTGAAGGACAGAGCTGACTTAGCAGGGAACGCCACATGGGGTAGCATGTTGATTCTCACGATGAGCTCCTGAGATGTGGTTAATGTCTGAATGCAGTGTGACTTAAATTAAAAGAAAATAGGGCCCTCCCTGGTGGCACGATGGATTAAAGCACAGCACTGCAAAGCTAGCCACATCTGCTTCAGCACGAGTTGTATCCCCAGAGAGGGAAGTGACCCACATGGGTCAGCAGACCTCTCCTGACCCATCCACTGCTCCCTTCAGCAGTGTACCTAGTCAGTCGGCCTGTTCTGCTCCCCATTCTGTCTCTGGTGAATCCTCTCACCACCCTTGCACCTCTGGCCTGGACCCTAGTTCTGCATGCATGCATAAATAAATCTTTTTTAAAAATTAAGAGAAAATAAAGGAGCAGCATTGGATTTCTATCTTTTTTTTTTAAGATTTATTTATTTATTCATACAGAACTGGGGTACAGGCCAGAGATGCGGAGGGTGACAGGATTCACCAGAGACAGAGTGGGGAGCAGCACAGGCAGATCGACGAAGTTCACTGCTGAGGGGAGCAGCGGGCGGGTCAGGGGAGGTCTGCCGCGCCATGTGGTCACCTCCAGGGAGGGGATCGAACTCATGCTGAAGTGGCTTTAGCTTCTTAGTGCTGTACTTTAACCCACTGCACCACTAGGGAGGGCCCTGGGTTTCTATCTTAACCAGGACCCACTCCTCTGCAGGCCATGGGGAGCCCCATCTCCCAGGCCTGTGGTACTCTGCTCAGACCTCCCCATCGCAGATACTCCCCTGAAGGGTCAGGGCAGGAAGGAATCTTTGACAGAGGCCCCCTTTCAACCTGCTCACATCACAGATAACACTGAGGTCAGAGAGGGGCAGTGACTAGCCAAGGCTGTGGAGCCCATGGCATCGGGAAGGACTCAGAGTAGACTCCAAGCAAAAGGAAGAGAAATGTTACATGGATCTTGTCTTTATTCAAAGTTTTGGCATTTCTCCCATGGCCTTTTCTTGTGTGTGTTATTTTTGATCTAAACAATTGTGCATGAAATATAGATCTTGCCCCATCGTTTCTTAGCACTCCCTTGAATTCTGTGCCTTACTTGCTGGACTTGATTCCCAGTCTGTGCTCCTGGCCCAGTCTGGATGGTGTGAGCCCCGAGGCCAGGGCGGCACTTACCTCTTTGATGCACACAAGTCCAGCTCCAGTTTCGGGGTCATACTGACCATCTGGTATCTCTTTCTTCTGGAATAGCCACTGGAAGTGGGTCTCCTTTTTGGTGTTGGTCACCTGAGGGAGGTGGTGAATAAGGAGACTCTATCAGACATCATCTTTTTTGAGTGAAAACTCAACTAATCAGAATTTACAAGCCTGACTCAGCCAAATCCTCCCTCACACCACAGATCTCCTTGGTGGGTTTCTGGACTCTGACCTTTTGCTAATGGTATTCTCTCGTCCTCCTGGTTTCTTCCATACCTCATGTTCCCTTGTAAATGCCTGTGCATCTTAAAGACTCAAGTTGGATGCCACCTCCCTCCAGGAAGCCCTCCCTGAAGAACCACAGATCAGTCAATCTCCTGTACAGGTCTGGATCATATCAGGAAGCTGCTGTTTTTCCTGATCCTGCCTTGGACCATGGTCTCCTAGAAAACTTCTATGCCCTTGGATGCCCAGTGATTTGCAGTATCTGATACACAGCAGGCGCTTTAAGTTTCCTAATGGGTATGCTTCTGGGAGAGCACCCTCCCCCAGCCCCTGCCCCCCCCCCCACCCCTACCCTATGTCCTTCCTCCAGGTATCTAAAGAGGCTCTAGGTATTGAGAAGGAGCATCAGCTTTGGAGTCGGACTGAGTGGGTTTAGCCTGGGTTCTAGACTTGGCCTCAAGCTGTTTCCCCACTGAGGCCTTGTGCTGCTATGGAGATAATAAGGCTAATCTCACCAGTGATTGTGAAGCAGATGAAGTTACACACCAGGGAATCCCCCTAATCATAGAGAATCCTCACTTGCTCCCTGACCTTCTGGTCCCACAGAGCCCCTTCTGGGTGCCACTGGGAGAGAGAAATAATATGTATTTCAACAGTAGCTCAGGTGGAGCAGCTTATACTAATCCTGTGATTGACTTGCCATGGAAATGAAAACAGCTGCATTGTGCACAAGTCCAGGTTCACTCTACTACAACCTAGCTACATGGCTATTTGAGAAAAGCAATGTGATACCACTAAGATTTAAGCATGGGCTTTGCAAGGGGTGACTTTGTAGTCCAGTAAAACACAGAGTCCCTGGGGCTACTTCCAAGCACTAGAATTTCGGGGAGCTGAGCGAGGACAGCCACTCCCGGGGACAAGCTGCTGGCCCTGAGCCGCCCCTGAGGCCGGGAAGGGGATTTGCCTTGCAGGTCAGCAGCACTTCGCAGTCCTCTGTGACCTTCCACTGCAAAAACTCCAGGAAGTAGGGACCTGTGAATGCAAAACAAACGTGCAGGTCACAGGCAGGCTCGGCCATGCGCCACCTGCTGGTGAGACAGGGAAAGCTAGCCGGGAGGGGACAGCTGGCCCCTTTGGCCGCCCTCACCAGGGCAGGGCACCTGATCGGGTGCAGCATTTAAAGAGGGGCTCATTTTCAGGGTGGGAAAGTGCTGTTTTGTTCTGGTGAGAAATGGCTTGGATTTCGCTGGTCCTCCTGGAGGGCCCAGCAGGGCTGAGGGGATCTCTTAGCCACCAGGCCAGCACCTCCCAGGTCTGACCACTGGCCTGGTGGCCAGCCTTTTGAATTCTCCAGCAGCTCTCACCCTGTTTTCTCTTCCAGTCTCTTCTCTTCGCATCTGCCTTCCTCAACAGTTTGTCAAACTCTGTGAAACATGGGGAAGGCAAGTCAGATGGGCGGAATGCCAGGGCCGGCCGCAGATGAGGAGCTGGCCCCGAGGCTGTGTGTGGGTGGGTGGGCAAGGCAGGGCAGGCTGACCGTCATCCACCAGCGCCAGGGTGATCTGGTTTTTGGCTTTCCCGTCCTGGAGCTGAGCAGTGTACGACCCTTTGTCCTCCTCAGACAAGTTCTGGATGATCACTTCCACCAGGCCCTTCTCTCGCTCGAAGTTGATCTTGCGGTTCTGGGAGAACAAATCCTTAGCATCTTTGTCCATATTTTTCCCATCATGGGGAATATGGGTGCACTTTGGGGCAAAGTGGACTGGTGTGGGAGACACTGTAGAGTTAGACACCTTCAGCACTGGGAGGGGACCCTGAATAAATCTCTGCTGCTTATACAGAGGGGGCTACCCCACACCTTACACCTCTGGGGACACCTCTGGGGACCCACAGGACCAAAAAAGAGTCTTAGGTGGCTGGATTAATGGCAACTAATAATAAGCCTCCAATTCTTACTGGGTCACATTTTGGGGCTATTTTAAAATTTCTTTTATAATGTAACAGAAAAAAAAAATCCCTGTAAGAGTTGGGAAGGATAATATAAGAACATCTATGTATTTTTATCCAGAACTAATGCTCATTACATTTTGTCATGTTCTAGCAGTTTTAGTGACCCCATTTAGAATTTTGTGCTGTTTGACTTGACGTATGTGTATGATTTGAGAGGGACCCCCCTATTTTTATTCTATGTTTCTATAAGATGAACAATAGTCCCAGTGCAGAGCCTAGACAAGGTCATGCTTAATCATTTAAGCAGCATGTTCAAATCCTTCTTGCTATTTGCTGCTCCCAATCCGGGAACAGCCAGCCCTGTACTCCAGGTGCAGAAACGGAGGCACAGAGAGGCCAAGAGCCCTGCCTGGGGACACACAGCTCCCAGGAGTTGGATGTGAGTCTTCTGGCCTCTAGCCCTGAGCATTTTCTCCTGTGTCAGAACCAGCGCCTCCTCCCTAGGACACGTTTTCTGATGGTGTCTTTGCCATGGGAGACCAAGTTCACAGTCACAGGCCTCATGATTGAATCTTGAGATTTAATTGACATTTTTAAGTGAAAACAGTTCCAGATGGGCCTCTATTTGGTTCACTCAAATAAACCTATGTACACTGATTACCAAAAAAAAAAAAAAAAGAGACACCCCTGTCATAATATATGAAGGAAAAAAAATTGTATTTCACAGCAGGTGCTCAGACATGCTCACACTTAGCTATACTGACTTATCAGGAGTTGATTTGAATTTCAGAGAAGTAAGACAAGCAAAAAGATCAAAAGCTTTTGAAGAACAGGAAAATGCAGAGTGACTAATAAAAATAAAACTATAAACAATGTGAAACTGAAATTTCACAAGTGCAAAAATATTTGTATTTCTATCTCAAAGTTAGGACTGAGACTTGGATAATTACACGCATGATCTTTTCATCTGAAGACAACCTGGTGGGACATTCAAAAATTGTGGAGGGGTTGTGAGGGTGGAGGAGCATGGAAAACTGGTTGTGGGCGCGTTCCTCCCATTGGCAGCATGGAGTGCCCCTGCCCTGGATCTCCCCTGCCCAGGAAATCTTCCCCGCTTTCTTAGGTTATACCCTCCTCCCCCCTACTAAAAGCCAGGGTCCCAGTCTCTGCACCCCCATCCCATCCAGCCAGGGACAGCCACGGCATGCAGTAATTGCGGAAATGGCCGCTAGGGGGAGGTGCCGGCCCGTGAACCACTGTGGGGCGACGTCACCCTGCGAGCCCCCACTTACCGGGGAGCTGAAGATCTCCTTCTCGTTGAAGATGAGATGCAGCTCCGCCGCTGGAGACAACTTTTCTACTTGCAGCCAAAGCCGCACCTGCCCTTGCTCCAGGACGTCAACGTTCCAGCCGGAGAAGAGCCTGATCACTGCGGGTAGAACGTGGAAGGGGGTGTGTGGGCGCGGCACCCTCCTGGCCGCCCAGCTCCACCTGCCCAGCTCCGCGCAGCCAGGGGCCCTGCCGGCGTTATTATGTGCGAAGTGCTCAGGACATCGAGGGTGACGGTGACGGCTGGGCTGGCCCCAGGGTTCTGTGCTTGCACCTCACTGAGTTGACCCCATGGGCCTGTGCTGCTCGCTCTGGCTGGGTAACGGATCCCCCGGACATTCAGAAACACTAATGTCCAGCATTTGGCCCCCGAAGTTCTGATTTGTCTGGGGCATGACCTGGGCCTGGGGCTTTTGAAGAACCCCTGGGGCCATCCCTTTGTGCCCCCAGGTTGTGTCCTCTGCTCCAGGGGACTCACACTGCTAGAGACTTGGGTGACTGGAAGTCCAGGGAGAAATCACCCACACTGCCCCTCACCCCCGCTGCCTGCCGTCTCCTTTTCGGGGCCCTCTGGCCCCGTGAACCCTCATCCTTTGCCCGGGGGCGAGTTTCTGGCTCCGGCAGGACTCAGCTCTCCTCAGGACACCCCAGGGGGCCTGGCAGGGCTGCCTGTGGTTGCTGGACTGGACAACTTACCTGGGTTTCTGATCTCATGGCTCAGCTTCTTCAGTTTGTTCAGTTCTGGCACAGGGAGGGGCAGGAAAGATACCAAAAAGAATCAAATACCTGGGCAGCAGGGCCCATGGGGTCATCCCGAGTCTCGCCCCAACTTGGGGTAACTTGCGACACAGGGGTGAGCACTCTGAGGCCCCAGGAGGACGTGGCTGCTGGCCACCTGGAGATTGCTCAGTCTTTGTGTCTTGCCAGGCCTAGACCAAGCACCACCTCCCCCAGAGAAGCGCCTACTGTGTGCATTCTCCCTCGTCCTCACACAGTGCTGTGGAGCGCACATTGTTGCTGCCTCTCAGACAGCCCAGGCCTGCTGGGGCCGAGCCCCCCTTGTGAACTATGATAGGTTGTTGTGGTCCCCAAGGCCCTGGCCCCACACTGGACACTCCAGTCTTTGAAGTTTCTAGGGTTGTTCTGAAGACTGTATCTCACTTGTGTTAGGCTTTTCTCTTCGGCTAAACTGTACAAGTGTCTGGCACACAGTAGGTGCTCAACAGTTATGTGTTACATGGGTGCATTGGCAGGGTAGAGCTCATGCCTCACTTCCCCTAGAAGACCCCAAGTCCTTTGCACACCGAGTTCGGTGCCTAGGGTAGAGCCTGGCCTCTGGCAGGTGCTCAACAGGTCTTATTGCTGGTGAGTGGGTGGGTGAGGGCCTACTTTTCCGAAGGTCGTTGCCTATTCCAGTCTGGGGCATGTCTTTGGGGCTCTCCCCCGGCTTGTCTCTCTGGGGGTTGGACAGGACATTACCTTCCTCAGTCAAGGTGTGGCTTGCTGAGATGTCTTCATCAGCATCGGTGACCACCACGGAGTAGGTGCCCAGATCCTCAAGGTCGGGCTCTTTCAGGATGACCTTTGACCTGGCAGAATGAGAACTCTGGAGGCCCTGGACGCACCTCCAGATCCTGGCTAAGCAGGGAAGCAGGCTGAGCTTCCGGCTGCCTGCTCAGGCCTCCGGGGATCCTCTATCCAGAGCAGCTCTGGCTTGGGATCACCAAAGGCCCTGCTGGCCGGGCTCTGGCACAGGGTCACTTGCTGGCTGCCAGGCCCTGCAGGCCCCTGGCTTTACCTCAGGCTGCGCAGGGCTGGGCAGAGGAGTGAGACGAGGGGCTCGTGACAGAGGACGCTGAGCCCAGGAACCTTGCAAGGCCCAGTTAACTCCGTCTCGAAGCTGCGTCCCGAGCGCCTCTCAGCGCTACACAGATCCCACAGGCCCCAAGGAGGCAGCCAGCACCGTCAGTGAAAGGCTGGTAGGTAGCCCCGCCAAGCCCGTTATCTCTGGGTCCTGCTGGTAGTCTCACTCGAAAGCTCCGGCCAGCTCATCTGACAACACCTGGGCCCCTGGGCTAGTGTGCACAACCCTCGCCCCTTACTTGTGTGCCTCCTCCTCGATCCTGACCCTCTGGGGGTCTGGTGGGCCCTTGTAGTCCTTGGACCATTGAAACTCTGAGGCGTCGGGGGCTGCGGGAGCCTCGAAAGCCAAGTAGATAAAGCCCTCTTCGTCCACACCAACCTTGATCTCTGGGGCGTCTGGGGGCAGGCATCGAGGGAGGTACCACATGTTTACAAACAATAAGCCAGGCCGTGGCCCTGTCTGGTGTTGCCTCCCGTGGCCCCCTCTGCACTTGACTAACCACCACCCTCCCTGACCACTCTGTAACCTGGCCAGAACCTCTCTGAGCTACAATCGATAGCTCTAAAGAGGGACAAGGACCCTCGCTCAAGGCTGTTGGGGGCCAGGGCGGGTGAGGGCCTAGCACAGCATCTGGTGTGTGTGGTCAGAGGGAACCTCGGGCTGTGGCTGCACAGGCTAAGCCGTGTGGCTGGCCAGCGCTGCCCTTACCCGGCTTGTCCTCCAGGAGTATGGGGTCGGTGGGCATGGACACCTGCCCGGGGCCAGCTGAATTCATGGCCTGAACTTGGAACATGTACGTCTTCCCCGTCTGCAAGTCAGACACCTGTGGTGGGGAGAAGGGGGCTGCAGTGAGTGTGGAGGACCCCAAAGACAGCCCTCCTCAACCCTGGCCATAGGATTGGGGGAGCCACTCATTGGTGGAGCCCCAGGAAGGTACAGTCTGCTTTGGGGGGCGAGGGGGCTCACAGGCTAGGTGAGCAGAGCCCTCTTGACTTCCAGACCCCGAGTTCCAGTTTTGGGTGGGTCTCCCCACGGATGCGCTCCCAGCCCTTGGCTGGGGACTGCACATAGCACCTGCCTCCCAGCTAAGAACCCCTCTCGCTATCCCCCTGTCTCTCCCCCATTCATCACCCCAGACAGAAGCCCGAGGATCGTCGGCATCTTTTTCTTGGTCCGGCACATCTCACCGCCAAGTTTGCCCTTTGGTCTCCCTAACGCTTCTTGACTGTGGCTCCTCCTGCTGGGTCCCGGCCCTGGCCGTGACGGAAGCTTCGTGTCTACTCGCCTGGGTTAGCCCCAGTTTCCTAACCGACATGTCTGCCCCTTGTCCCCAGCCTCTCTCCCCTGCCTGCCTTTCCAAGACGTCAGCGTGATTGTGCGGACACTTTCAGCAGCCCCTGGGGGAAGCTCACATTGTAGGGTTTAGCCCTTAAAGTCTCCTCCTCTGGCCCCACGTCCTGTCCTGTCCTCCATGACACCCTCATTCATCACTTGGTTCCCCCCTGCCTTGCCTGTGCTGAGCGCTCTGCCTGGAACACCCGTCCCTCCTCCCCGACCGCCCCCTTCCTCCCTGGAGCACCTCCACCAGCTCATCTCTGAGCACTCAGCTCGGGTCCCTCAGCTTCTAGGCAGGGTCTCTCTGACCCCTTGGCCCCGCCTTCACTGTACCAAACAGTGCCTGGTGCCCAGGTCGTGACCACATCTAGAACCTGGTTCAAACCTGGCACTCAGAAGGCGTCACTAGTGCCTGAGTGAGTGGGTGTCAGCCAACCGTGCACCTGCAGCAACGGTGCCAAGTCAGGGCGCCGGCCCGACCAGCCGGCCCAGCTGCGCCAGGAGGTAGCCTCGCCACCCACCGCCCGCTCTCTCAGCCAGCTGCCCAGCGCTGGGCGCCTCTCCCCGGGGGTGGGGGGGAGCTGGCCCCAGGGAAGGAGAAGCTGCAGGCCCTCGGAGCATCCCCCGGCGGAGGCTTGTCCTCCCTGATTCTGTCTTAATGCTGTTTTTCAAAATGAAAATATTTTTGTTTCTTTTTTGGACTATAAAAGAAATATGAAAACAGGCCCTCCCTGGTGGCGCAGCGGGTTAACGGACTGCACTAAGAAGCTAAAGCCACTTCAGCATGAGTTCGATCCCCGCCTGCCCCGGAGGTGACCACACAGCGCAGCAGACCTCTCCTGACCCGCCCACTGCTCCCCTCAGCAGTGTCCTTCCTCGATCTGCCTGTTCTGCTCCCCGTCTGTCTCTGGTGAATCCTCTCACCCTCCGCATCTCTGGCCTGTACCCCATTTCTGTATAAATAAATAAATAAATCTTTTAAAAAAAAAGAAATATGAAAACAATAGGGAAGAATATAAAGTGGCAGGTTAAAGCTCCCTGGGCAGTCCCACCCCAGAGATAACCAGAAGGAGCAATTCTGTTAAAGTCCCTTTAGACTGTCAGTGGACACGCAGACACGTGACGGGCACTGCGTGCTGGCTTAGCCTTATTCCCGCCACACTGTTGGGCCTTCCTCCTCTTGGTGCCAACCCACGGGTGCTGATGTGTGGAGACAACTTGCTGTGTGACCCTGGGGAGGCCACTCCCCCTCTCTGGTCCTTGCTGCCCTTGGGTAAGGGCAGTGACCTCTGAGGGTCACACAGGTGCTCAGGTCTTGTGGTTCTGCCATGTCCAGTGCAAGGCTTGGGGGTGGGCCGGCGGACGCAGGAACAGGGACTTACCCTCAGGTGGGTGCCAGAGACGGGGTCTGCAGTGACTGGCTTCCACTGCTCGGAGCCTCCCTCCTGGACACTGACGCGGTAGCCTGTGATGGGCCCGGCTCCCGTGTACAGCGGGGGCTCCCACTTCAGCATCAGGGAGGTGGCCCGCACCTCGGACGCATGCACGTCGTAGGGGGGCCCTGGGGGAGGTGGGTGAGAGCGCTTACTGGGCAGCCAGGTCACCACCGGCCAGGCAGGGAGCCGAGCGGGGAGTGAGAGGCTGGTCCACCCGTCAGTCACACCCAGGCCTGGAAGTGCCTGCTCTGGGCAGAGAGGGGCCTTGGCTTCACACAAAGCATGACAGGGCTCAAGATGTGCTCAGCGACACTCGCTCCCAGAGGCACCCCCGGTCCTCCCCACCCACCCCCAGAGCTTTCCTCCTTAGGGCGCCTTTGTCACTCAGTGCTTAGTGAGGGCCTGCGGGAGTGACCTCTGCGTGGCCGCTCTGCCTGCCTGGCTTTGGGGACTCTGGACAAGTTACTTAGTCTTCATGTTCCTCTCACCCCATCTACCAGACAGGGAATAATAATATTCCTACAATACAGAGCACTTGTGGGTGTTGATGACATAATTACGGCCCAATAAATAGTACTTGCTTATAACTGATGTCTGAGGCATCACTCCTAGTAATCATCTACTGTTCTGGTTAAAGGTTTGATGTCGAAAACAGAGCTGAGCTGAGCAGATGATGAGATTGTGGTCCCACCTTCCCGGGGGCTATAAGGGGCCTCTATGGGGGTCTGTATAGGGCCTGTGTGGGGCCTGTATGGGGCTGGATGGGGGCCTGTATGGGGCCTGTATGGGGCCTGTGTGGGGCCTGGATGGGGTCTGTGTGAGGCCTGGATGGGGCCTGTACGGGGCCTGTGTGGGGGCCTGTGTGGGGCCTCTACGGGGCCTGCGTGGGGCCTGTACGGGGCCTGCGTGGGGCCTGTGTGGGGCCTGTGTGGGGCCTGTACGGGGCCTGTGTGGGGCCTGCATGGGGGCCTGTGTGGGGCCTGTGTGGGGCCTGCGTGAGGCCTGTACGGGGCCTGCGTGGGGCCTGTACGGGGCCTGTGTGGGGCCTGTATGGGGCCTGTGTGGGGCCTGTGTGGGGCCTGTGTGGGGCCTGTGTGGGGCCCGTGTGGGGGCCTGCGTGGGGCCTGCATGGGGGCCTGCGTGGGGCCTGTGTGGGGCCTGTATGGGGCCTGCGTGGGGCCTGTACGGGGCCTGTGTGGGGCCTGCGTGGGGCCTGTGTGGGGCCTGCGTGGGGCCTGTACGGGGCCTGCGTGGGGCCTGT